ACAGTAATCCAGACTCAGATTCTGGCTAAGGAGGAAGCTTAATCATTAAGTGATACTTTCCTCAAAAGCTTCGTATTTCTGATTGGTAAGAAAAATGAATTAAAAAAGAAACATCTCTCATTAAACATAAAGCAGGAGTGCCTCCATTATAAACTGCAAATTTCCATGACTAGAAATTTGCCTTCTTCTCCTTTGCCTAAGAGTAAACTGAGTGATTAAAACTCCTATTGTCTTTAAACCCCACTCCTCCTGATATGGAGAGATCCTGAATTCATGAATAATAACTCAGAGCTGATAACTGTCTAAGGTTTCTGCCCTCTGGCAAATTTACTGCCCCTCCCTGGAACTACATGAGAATCTGAAAACCTTGAATGGATTAGTACCTTGAATAAATTAGTACCTTCAATAGATTAGACTTCCTGCTTCTCTGAGTCCTCCCTTTGATACTGCCTAGGGTGGGATCTGAGCCCAATCCCCACCCTGACGCCTCCCTGTCCCAATTCCCCCATAAAATACTGTGTCCAACCCCCAGTCAGCCTGGAGATTCCCAGTGTTAACTCCTCCACCAGGGTAATAAATAGTTCTCCTAATCTGTCTGAGTGCTGCTTTCCATTCCTCAGTGTCTGTTTTGTTTTTTGTTTTGTTTTTGTAACAAACTAACACTGAAGTTTGAACTTGAGCTCCCTTCTTTGTGCTCAACATAATTAACTCTTCAGGATAAAATGATGAACAAGATAGTTGCATTATAAATGCAGTCATCTTCAAGAAAACTCTGTAGGCAACTCTGGTTTTACAGTTGGATATCCTGGATCCAACCTGGCGATGAAATCCTGAAGCATTTAGATGAATCAATAACAAAAACATCAAGGACTTTTCAGTTCAGGACAGCTTATCTGCCTTTGCTGAGCTGTAATGGGAACTTCCAGTAAGATGGTCACAAGGTTTGCATGTCCATAACAGCTGCCAGAAAACAAACTGCTATAGAAATGGAATACATGCGAGTATCGGATCTGCATGAGGAACAGGGAACCTTCCCTACTTCAATGCCTTTGGAATACATTGTCCCCACCAGCTTGGAAGCTGAATACATGAAAATTGTTGTGCTTCTATAAAAAGTCATTGACAAACCTGCCAAAACCCAGCTATAATACATGTAGTTCACCATCCAGGTTTCTGACCCAGCACAGGAAGCATCTAGTACCCTAGTGTATACTAACAAAAGAGCCAAGAAGAGCTCTGAGCTGGAAGTTTTCTTCATTGTAGAAGAGAAGACATAGCTGAGGTGACTGTGTAAATGAATGCCTAAACTCGGAGGGGATTCAGAGGCAGCACTTGCTCAAGCACCCCACACTAAACATTTGGATAAAACTGTTTATGCAGTAAGAGATTCAGTTATCCTCCTAGTGTCTGCAACATCTATGACTTGGTCTATGTTTGCATATAGAACCCACAATTCTCCTGATGAGAGCAATTATATTCAGACCTCATGGTTTCTCCTCATGCTTCTCTTTCTCTCCATTTTTGCATATGCTGCCTCTGGTGAATGAGAATGTGTGGGGATTTCTTCCTCTCCTATAATAAACCTTAATGTGGAAAATATAAATCCTTTCATATCATCTGCATCTGAAAAAGAACATGTACATGGCAGCTGTGAGGCAGAACAAAAGGACTTCTCCATTTCTAAATGGGGGCACAGTTCCTCTTGCTACACCCATTCTTCTTAGTGTTTCTGTGGCCAAGGTGGCCCTATAATTGTGGGCATCTATCTCCTGCTTTTTCTTTCACATAAGATGTTGGCAAAGTGACACCAAAGCCAGGAGCCCATGAGTAGAATTTTCCAAGTATTGTCTTTAAAATGTAGAAGAAAGCCATACATAAGACCCCACTAGCAGTCAGAAATGAAGTGGGTTGTAGGGTCTCAGGAAATAGTTGTGTAAATAGTAGTCTGATTTTTGTGTCTGGAGAACTGCTGCAATCAGGTACAGGAGTGCCTAGACCTTCAGGGACTCCTCTAGAGTGCTCCTGGTGATCTACAGGAAGGAAACCCAGCAGGAAAGGTGCCAAGTGTGGCTGATCTCAAAGTAGTTGTGATGGATGGACTTGCTGAGGGCTGCTATGACAAAGAGCCCAGGCATGACTTTCAAGCAACCAGAACTGGGACTTCAACTGTGACTGGTTATGTGGGAGTCCAGCACCTTAACCACTACACCACCTGCTGCTCCCACCAGAAACTTTTATTTTTAATAAAAAGATTAAATAAAATATTAATTTATAATCTCTCACTGAATTCCCATGTAGTCAACTATGGTTTGAGGCCCAGATTCAGCAACTTAAAACACATGCTGAGTGCATGCGCATACATGCACACAATTCCAAGGAGAATGGAGGAGCAGGGATTGTGGCATGGACATCCCCCCTAGGGCATGATTTCTTACTTTTCCCCTCTCTTGCTCTGGCAAGTGCACATGCCCTATAATAAATAAATATAATAAAAAAATTATTTAGAATTAAATTTTTCTCAGTTCTTCATTAAAATCAGCTATAAATCATTCAGAAGAATCTGAACATTTGTTTCATTATTTGCAACTATTTTTAAATTTGCATTTAAAATAACTTCTAGAAAATTTTATAACATAGAGGTCCTATTTTCATTTAACTGCTATTTCTGTTGTGTTTTTATACTAATCTCTATCATCTTGACTCCATATTTAACATGCCCTTCTTAAATGAATTGTTCTCCATCTCTTTCCTCCTCTTTGCATCTGCCTAGCTATTCCTTTGGGTGGCCTTTTCTTTTTTTTTAAAAGTAATTTATTTATTTTTTAAAAGTTCTTTATATATAATCACTGTACATTTCCACAGAATGGAAAATGAATATTGTCAGCATGAATACACTGCATATAGGTGTATTCTAGACAAGCAAACACATGTGCACCGTGTGCTTTTCAAGCCTCCAGGTCCAGAATGTGAACTGCAAAGGTGGCCAGGTGGAAACCATCCACTCTGTCTTTGCCCCTCTCTTTCTCTACAGGTAGTTACTGACCTGTCTGCTTCTCTGGGCAACGTTGTAACTAGTCAGAAGCCAACCAGAAGCTAGGCCATGCATTTATACTTTTCAGGAACCAGTACTGTAAGCCAAGTGATCCACTGATTCTTTACAAACTACCCAGTTTCAAGTATTCCTGTTTAGCAACGTAATAACAAATGAATATGGTAAATGGGCACAGCTAAATGGGTGGAGTTAACAGACAACTGGAACTGTGGACATGGTTTGGAAATGGGCTAAAAGGAAGAGGCAGTTACAAGTTTGGAGAAGCAGGCAAGTAAAAGCCTAGATGATGGTGAAGCCTTGGAAGAAGAAAGATTTAGAAATGAACAGAAACCTTTTTTTGGGAAAAAAATAAAGCTAAGACACTTGTGGGACACAGATATGGTTTATTATCTGTTGAGGAGGATGTGTACAGTATTCTCACATGGGCTGGACTGAGGTGTACATCATGCATGGTAGACTCCTTACAATACAAACGATGTATAGCAACAGAATGTATGGATAATAATAATGATAAATTAAAAAGAAACTTTTTAAAGATTGAATAAATGTCTGCAATAAGAATACTGATAGAAATATAGGGAACGAAAGCTGCGCTCAGGTTTCAAAAAAAGGGGAGATTGGGAATAGCAGTTGGCATAATGGCTATGACACTGGACTCCCATGTACTCCTATGGACTCCCATGTACAGTTTGAATCCCAGACCCAGTGGCTTAAACTCATGCCGGACACATGTGTGTGCATGCTCAAGATCCTAAGAATATAATAAAGAACAAGAAATTGTGACATAGCCATCCCCTCCCTGGGAAGTGATTTCTCGATTTCTGTCTCTCTGACTCTCTCTGACGTTCCAGTGAGCACACATGCCCTATAACAAAAACCTCTCAAAAAACAAAACAAAACAAAAACTTCCCTGTTGACCAGATTGTAAACAATCATGTTGATATAAAAAATATTTCAGACTGTCTTACTATATAATAGTTATTCCTTATGATATGGTGAAAGATACTGTCAGACACACAGGAAGGGGGTTAAAATTCTATTCCAAAGAGGGACCAGCAAGTGGTGTGGATTTAAAGGTGCGGGATCCCGCATGACAATCAGTGTTGATCAAGGCCCAGTCCTGGAACCTTCGGCTTGTAGTGTGCATGCCAAAAATTCTGTAAGGAGACTATAAGAGACATGACTATGGCATCGACAATTCTCCCAGAGGATGTCTTCTAACCCCTGCAACCATGATTCTGTCTCTGGAGAGTACACATGCCATACTAGGAGATAAGAAAGAAACTAAAAATATAAGTCTCTTCAGACTGCATTCAGTGTTGGCATGGCTTTTACTACATAGAATAAGACTAATCTGTGCATGACAGTTCAACATTTCAATCATCACTTAAAGGCTAAAGTATATTACAATATGCATATCTGCATCAATTCTTAATGAATACATTCTTACCTTAAAATCATACATGAATAGAGGTTTCAAGAATAATTATTAATAATAGTTGATCAATATTTAAAACATAATATAGTAAATCCTCTAATACTTAGACAGTCAAAAAACTAAAATTTAAAAAACATCTTAGGTGATTTTCATCATTACCAAGAACTTACAAACATAATCTAGAAGGATTGGTTTAACTATTTCATAAAAAGAAAAGAAAACTTCCATGAATCACACATTCTTCAGGTATCACCCAGTATTCTCTTGCCTTTAGCATACTAAATTTCCAAGGAGATTACTACACTTAATGAACAATTAAGCATCCCAGGTAATTAAATTGTTCTTCATCAAGAACACTTACTCTAATTTTTCTTTCCTGCTCAATAGAATAAACAATTGAGTATTCCTCTGTTGGACTGAAAGACACGACACTATTCTGGGTCATTTCGAGAAAAAGTCATCACTGTTGATATACCTTCAGAGAGAAATGAAGAAGTGATAGTTGTGTACCTTTTTTCTTCTGAATCTGCTTCACAGCATCTGTTGTTCTCAGCCAATTGGAGTGAACCACCAGGCGGTGACGTGTCCTCTTTCCGATATTCCTACCACCTTCGCAGTTCTGGTGGTCCACCATTTCCTATATTTTGTTTTCTTGCCTTTATTTTCAAAAGACCTGGAGTTCCGAATTTGAAGAAATAAAGACACTGGTTTGTAATCTTCATACTGATAACTACAAAACCAATTTGTGAGAACTCCGCGATCTTTCCCATCTTAATTTATTTTCTTTCAAAATGATTCTGAACGGTCAACAACATACACAGAAATGCATTTTCTCAGCTACCAAACAGAGGTAAAAGGAATAATGTGACGCACTTGTCATTTCCTGAAAACTTGCAACAACCAGAAATAAGGCTTTATACTGGGACCAACACATGGTGTCATGGCTAAGACGCTAGACTCTCCTGTTGTCGACCAAAGTTTGAGACTTGTACCTGGTGACTGAAACGCAAAATGGATGTGTGTGCGTGTATGCTCAAGACCCTGAGAAGAGAATGGAAGACAAGGGATTGTGGTGTGGCCACACCACCTGGGGAACGATTGCTTGCTTTCTGTCCCTCCGTCTCTCTCTGCCTTTCACTAGGCACACCCGCCCAGTAGCGAAAGCCTCACAAAAAAGAAAAAATTCTTCCCTGAGAACCAGACTCTTAAGCAACTTATGACATTGACATCACTAATATTTTAGAGTACCTTAACATATCATAGCAATTTTTTATGATACTGTCAAGATTCTCTCAGACACACATGAAGGGTGATAACATTCTATTCCCACTAAGGAACAGCCAGTGGGGTGGACATCAAGTGGCTCGATCACACACGACACTCAGTGCTGTTCAAGTCCCAGTCCGGGCACCTTGACGAAT